AATTAGGTTTGTCAATCCCTAAGGCTGGCAGGGTGGCAAATAAGCCATTATATTCACTGTCCATTAACAGTCTGTTGCCTGAATGAGATTGTGCATTTTCCAAGCTGTGCATGAGCAGCATCAGCATATCCTACGCAGAGATCTGCTCAATGAGTCTGGGAGACACCCAGTTCCAAGGCTGCCCCCTCTAAGCCTGACCCACTGCCCCAATGGCCGCCTCCCAGAATCCCCCCAGGGCCAATTTTCAACAGGCCTCTCTGTAAAGCTGAGCAAAACAGAGTCAAGGGGTGCATTCTTTATGCAAAGCCAAGCTCCAACCAAGATCTCTAGCCAAGTCTGTTTTAGCTACAAGCTCTAAACCCCAGCGGCTGGAAAAAAAGAGAAAAAGCAACAACAACCCATGCAATCAAAAGTGTCTTCTTTGGAGAAACCAAAAGAGCTGAGCAGGTGTGAACTATTGAGGGGCAGGAAGTGAAATCTCCACTGCTAGGGGATAGAAAGAGGGGAGCTCAGCTGCCATGTTCTTAAATAGCACAGATCAGTGAGGGAGCTGGAGGAACCCCAAAGACCTGGCTCTTCCCTTGTCCTTGACCAGGCTGCCCACAGAGAGGGAGGGCAAGACTCTTCTAGCCATGGTGGCTCAAGCTTCCTTTCCCCACAGAGAGCTGAGGCTTTGGGATAAGGGGCAGTAGAGTAACCTCCATGTTTTTTAGAACCACCTGGCCCCTACAGTCGTGGCAGTAATGTGGCATGGGCCTTGCTTTCCCTCAGACCCAGAGCAATCCACCTGGTACGTGCTAGAACTTTCCCTCAGTCCCAGAGCAGTCCACCTGGTACGTGCTAGAACTTTCCCTCAGACCCGGAGCATTCCACCAGTTACATGCTAGAACTTCCTCTCCATCTCAGAGCAGTCTGTCTGGTACATACTAGAACTCAAGACCTGAGGCTGTGACTGACTCTGGAGAGTGACTTTGTATCTATACTTAGTGTGGCTCAATAGGAGAGATTGATTAGACCAGAAAGACTCTGAAAGCTTTGAGGAAGTCTTGCCCATCTGCAACAGGGAGGGAGTGAGCAGATCCAGGAGAAATCTCTTCTTCACCTAAGATTCAGGTAAAGACACACAACCAGGTACCATTCAAAGCAGAGAAGCCTGAATCCGGGTGGCCCTGATGGCCACCTGATCTCCTGGTCAGTGCTCCCACAGAAAAGAAACTCCTAGATTGGTTCTTCTGTCCCCTCCCTGCCTCAACACCTACCATCCCCGGACCCCATTCCCAGACTGCCTCTGCTTCACCCCTGCCCTCCCCGCACCCCAGCATGACCCCTCTTTATCCCCCCTGTCCCTTCCCTGCAGCCTCTCGAGCCTGGAGCATTTGGAGAAGGGTTGGCAGTGTGGTCTCCTGGGTGGACGGAGGCCGCATTACATGTTTACATCTGATTCGACATCTGATTGAGTCTTCCCCAATTGTTGTGAGTGTTCCTGACTCAAAATATGTGCAATTCCCAGTGCCAATCAAACTCTTTTAAACAGCAGCTGCCACTGCCGTTGCCTTGCAGAGCACTTTAGAAACTCTTCTATTTAGAAACCATTCCAGCCCCAGCTTGCATCATGCCATCCATGCTAAGAGGCCCCGTGGCTGGTTGAGAACTTTGCAGCTCTAATCTTTCAGTAATAAAGAAGGAAGGCAGAGAGAGGGGCAGGAGAACAGAGAGGGGAGGGGAGACGTGCAACTTCCCTGCAAGGCCCATGTACCAGAAAACAGGGAGTTTTTTTGTCCCCCTCCCCCACACTCGATAGGTATGCACATGTAGTTTACTTGCTCAGGCACCCCAGGCCCTCCTGGAAGGTACATTCATGTGTTCAGCACTAAGATCAGCACCTGGCCTGGCCCCTCTGCTGTGGATGACAGATTAGGAGATGGTGACCTGGAATAGAGAGCTGTAAAGGTGGGCTGTGTGGCCCTTACCCACTTCTGTTCCACTCAGGAACATGATTTCTTTCTAGTCACTATCTCCAAGTAGCTCTAAGTGCCTGTTCTCTTGCTGCCTGGGAACAGCATCTCCCTAACCCTGGCAACCCTGGCTGTAAAGAGAACGAGGCAGCAGTATCAAGGCCCCTATTTGCCACTTGAGAATCCCAGGCCTAACTTTGTCCAAAGTTACACAGGCTCAAGCCAGGAGCCCATCTGTGGACTGTGTCCCCATGGAGATCTGGAGAAACTGTGGCTGTGATTTGCCAAGACTCACGGAAAACCCCAATGCAGGTGTGTGACAACACATGCCTCTCACCATCTTACCTCCTTCCACAGCCCTCACACTAGAGCCAGAGGGGTCCGTTCCTGCTCTGACAGACCCCTCACTCCAGTTCCTCTACCGGAGACACCCTCTCCTCAGCACTCTCCATTGCCACACCCACATCTCTGATTCCTCTCCTTCCTTCAGAACCAACTGAAATACCACCTCCCCTGTGAAGTGCTCCCCATCTCCCCAGCCTGGTGGAACTTCTCCTTCCTCTGAGCTCTCAGAGCATTTTATCTGCATCTCTTCTGTAGCTTTTACCTCCTTCTATCTTATTCTGTACTAATGTATATACCCTTCATCTCTCCGTTGGACAGTAAGCAACTTGAATATAGCATTCTCATCTGATTTCTCTTAGAATCCCCCATAGGCCTAAAATAGGGCCCAATACTTGATAGGTGCGTGTGGAATGAAAATCAGTTCAATAGGTCATAATCAAGGTCATTATGCTTATCAAGGTCATAATGAAAGACGCCTCTCAGAGGCGTATGCCTAAGTGCTGAGAGCTGGCTGGACAAGCGGGTAGGTTCTTGTGTTTCCTGTCCCTCATACACACTCAACCAGCGTGCCCAGGTGTCTTGAAGGAATATTTGGGGATTCTCCACTGGGCACTCGTCCTTCTATGCCCAACCAACCACCAGCCCTCCTTGCTGGTCCATCCTGATTAAGGGGGGCATGTAGACCCCACCGTAGGGAGTGAGGCCTGAAGGGCACCAGTGGGGTTGGCCATGGTACAACAGAGTCAGACATTTCCTCTTTAGAATTGAACCAGATTTGGGCCCTCTAATTATGACTTTCAAACAGGAAGGATTATTTGTGAATGACCAGATTGCACAAGATGGGTGAAGGCAGTGATGGATTTACTGAGTAGTTTAGTTAAGAATAATCAGTCACAAATGTACTATTTAGATAAAAGTTTGCTTTTGATTTCAAGTCTTCCCCCCACAGGAGGCAGCAATTGTTCTCTGGCCAGGAGTAACCAAGCCAGCATCTAACTCTTGTACGTGTTGATCGGAGGTCATGTGCTCATGGGCGTGACGGGGACTTCCAGCCTCTGCGGCAATTCACTCGTTGACTATAAAGCTTTGCTGTCCTCACTGCAGATTCTGAGCAAACATTCTTTCTGCTTAATCTTCCTTTCCTATGTGCCCTTCCTCCCTTTCTTAACATTTTGCTTCCTATGCCCTCCCTGCCCTGTCTCCTCCGCACGTCAGTCTCCTACTGCTGCCCACGCTCCTGTTTTCTGCTCTTGCTACCCCTTGCTGCCAACACTCTATTGTCTAGGTTGCCTCTCTCTCTCCTTCTTTCTAACAGTTTTATCAAGCTATAATTTACATACCACAGAATTCACCTGTTTTAGGTGTACATGTCAATGACTTCTACCAAATTTATAGAACTATGAAAAGAGCACCACAAACCAATTTTAGAATATTTCCATCACCTCAAAAAGAGTTCTTGTGCTATTTTACAGTTGATACTGTTCCCACTCCCAGCCCCAGGCAACCCCTAATCTGCTTTCTGTCACTCTAGATTTGCCTATTCTAAACGTTTCATATAAATGGAATCATTTATACACATGGAATCATGAGGTCTTTAACTTATTGTCTGGCTTCTTTAACTTAGCATAATGTTTTGGAGGTCCATCCATTTTATGGCCTGCCTCCTGGTCCATTCTTTTTTATCAGGGAGTAGCATTCCGTCATGTGGCCATCCCACATGTGGTTTATCCAGTCACCAATTGATAGGCACAGCTTCCCTCTCTTGAGGGTGTTTTAACATCCACACTAGAGACTGCACACTCTTCTGCAGGTCATTCTGGATTGACTTTCTGAAAGTTTGGTTTTTAAAGGAAGGTTTTAAAAATTCTCCCAGGAGTAAGGAATTCATCCAGCCTTCTGGGAGGATGACTTCTCAGGAAACAAATGAACCGAAGATGTTTTCTATTTATCCTACTCTACAGCCTTCCCTGGCCACAGTCCAGGACCTGACCCTCCAAAGCTATGAAAGAGGTGGAAAGTGTCAATGTCTCCGTGGGTTTTACTGTTAACACTTATGGCCCACTCTGTGTTGGTTCCAGATACCCCTGAGGATCATATTCAAATCATTTAATATTTAACGACCAGTCAGGCACTGCACAGACCGACCCCAATCAGAACTGATGCTGGACAAGACATAGATCTTTGAGATCCCTACCATGTGAGGGTTATCCTTTTGGTTGCTGGATAATGAGGAGAACCAGGGCCACCAGGCAAGGAGCCAGGCTGCCTGAGGCAACAAGAAGGGAACACTCTGGGGACAGTGGCTTTTTATCAGTTGGGCCAGAAGCATTTCAATGTTTTAATAATGACTTCAACTCCACTGGGGAGCACTAGCTGAACATCAGGCCCATTTCAGCCTACTCTGCCCACCTAGAAGGTGAAAGAGGTATTCTCAGAGTTTCAGGGAGTCCTGGAGCCAAGCCCCAAACTCCAAATTTGATTAACGTATGGAGCCATCCCTCAGAAAGGGAAGTGCTTGCTGCTGGAGAAGTGGGAGGAGATGGTGACTGCTCCCCTATTGCAGCTGCTCTGAGATTAGGTGAGGCTGATAAAAGCTACAGTCATGAGCCAGGTATCAGCACACGTTTGCTGGGTGCTGAATCCTAAGACATGACCAACCCAGGTTGTACCTCACACACACTCCTCTTAACACACGTACAGGTTCTGGCTGCAGATTGTCGCTTGGTGGGGACAAGGATCCAGAGCCACCGTGGCTTTTGACAATATCTCCATCAGCCTGGACTGCTACCTCACCAGTGAGTTCACCCTTTCCCTGGCACTTGTCCCCAACCCAGACTACCCTGGGCCTCACTATCCCTCCTTAACCCAAGCCCAAGTGTCTCTCCCACTTTCCCTGGGGCAAACTCACCTTTCTCCCTTAAACTGAGTCTCATCTAACTCAGCCCACGTGTCTTCTCTATTCCAGTCAGTGGGGAGGACAAGATGCCACAGAATACAGCACCCAAATCAAGAAATCTGTTTGAAAGAAATTCAAACAAGGAGTCGAAACCCTGGGAAAATACACCAGGAGAGACCCCCATCTTTGACCCTACAGGTAAGAGTTCAACTTACAAATTTGATCAAAGTAATTTTTTGTTGCCAAAGGCAGAAGAAAGATGTGTGCTGTGATTGGGATGGGGAGATGTGTTTGAAGAATAAAATAGTCAGCCTTTAGAAGGAACATCACCTACCCACTGGCTATCGGGTGCCAAGAGGAAGCTGCTTGGTTCTCTTTTTGCCTGGGCAAATGGAGCTTCTGGAAATTGTGCAAAGGAACAGCTCTCCTCTGTGCCTGGGGAATACCCAGGCCCCGATCCCCATGGGAAGAACCAAGCTGGTAGCCTTTCCTCCACTCAGTCCCCTGAAACCACTCCCCATTTACTGAACGAAGAGAACCTTCCCTCAGATTTCTTCTCCTCATAAACAGGGTTGGGCCCAAGACCAAGGTTATCTGTTACACAAAGGCAGGATGCCCCACCAAGGGTAAAGCCCGAAAAGCTTCTGTTTCAACACATTTCCCCCAAAGCTTGGCTCCCCTCCAAAGCTGTTCGATTCAGCATCCCCCAGCTGAAAGACTTCTCACGGGGCCTCTTGCTGCTTCAAACTTCAGCCTCTTCAGCCTCTGACCCTAAAGCATGGGTGTGACTTCTTAGCTCCTCTTTGTACCAGGAGGAAATCCCTTGGAATCAGTCTCCAAACCCAGTATGATGTTCCTCGGGAGTTATTTGCTCAGAGGCTGAGAGCCTAGCCCCAGAGAAGCTGACTAAGGCCACCCAGGCCTGACACTAGCAAATCAAGGGGTCCCGTGCGTGGGCGTTGGTACCCAGGCACAAGAGAGGCTTCTTCCAACATGAGTAACCTGGAGACGAAGGTAGACAGCACACAATCCACCTACCCACGCTCTTTTTTCTCTAAAAGATAATTCTTTATTAAAATAACAATAAATGGCAAATCTCTCATTTCTACTTATGTGAAATCTTTGTTTAGTGCAAAATATAAAAAAAAGTAGAGGCTTATGCCTTCTCCACTAAATTAACTGTCAACTTATTAGGTAAATATTAGCTTTGCTTAGCCTTTGAAGAAATCTTTTCCTTTCTCCCTCGTAAAAAGCCACCCCAGGACTAATTCTTATCCCTTCGCTATCCATGCCTGATCTAATCTGCTGCCAAACCAGGGGAAAGAGTTGCTTTTTCCATCGCCTCTCCCCTTTCTTCCCTTCACCTTAACCAGAGCCTCAGAAAAACCTTTTCATTTTTCCACACAAGAGGGATAATGGCCTCCAGAGCTGCTCTCTCTCTCTGTTTCCCCACTCAGCCTCGTGGTCCGTGAAAACGTCTAATGTGAGGGAGGCAGCCTTCTATGTGAATTGTTCAGTGTGCCCTCCCACCCTCAGCGATTCCCCTCCGTTACTTCCTGGCCCTTGGTCAACCACTGCCTCCCCATGATAAATTCAGGACCTGATAAGTGAACATCATGGCAAGCCCCTGCCCACCTAACCACCAGCACTGATTACATAGCAGGGGCTTCAGAGACACTTATCGGTTGACTGGCGGGTGCTTGATGCTTGAGCTCAATTCTCAGATGTTGGTAGCCAGCTCCCCTGCAGCCAGCATGTAGGAAACAGCCATCCATCCTGCCTGACTCTCGAGTTTATCGCCATAGAACTCCCACTGTCCCTAAAAGTCTAATCAATAAGGGCCTGCCCAATGGCTACTCAGACTAACGAAATCACACCGCTGCTCGAAAGCAGAGATGCTCCCCTACCACCTCCAAATAAAGTTAGAAGCGAGTAGCTGCTTGAGAGGCTGAAGATGACAATGGCTGGAACACAGGCCTCCACCCTGCCCTGCCCCAGCCTCAGAGCAGCCATGACAGGCAAGTGGCTATGGGTCAGCATTCTGTCTCTAGACCCCCTTTCAGAGTGACCTCAGCTCAAAGGGAAGAAGACACAGAGCCAGTACATCCCCAGGAGGCCTTAGTAGGCTCCTCAGAAAGGCTTCAGAGCACTGAATAAAGAGCCAGTGCTTTCCCAGGAACCCACTGCCACATCGGGGAGCAGCTCAGCAGAGGCAGAAGCCGAGGCAGGCTCCCAACACCCCTTCTCCTGCTGTGTTCCAGTAGCAGGATGCATCTCTCCCCTATCCTGAGGGATCTCCCAGTCCCGCCTTGCTGCAGATCTCTAGCAGAGCAGGGTGGGGGTGTCTTTGTCTTCATAGGGAGCATTTATAGGGGGCAGGGGGAGCAGGGCCTCCTTTCCCCATCATTCACAGGACAACGTCCACTGGGCCCTTGAGGCAGCATTGGCCAGGACTCAGCCTCATGATCAGGGAGAACAGGCCAGATCCTGGGCCCATGCTGAGGCCCACCCTCACCTGGCTTTAATCTAGACCCAACCACAGTTCTCGTGCACTTCCCCTGTGGCTGGTTCAGTGCTCAGAGATGCTGAGCAGAACAAGACCCAGGTTAGAAGCTCAAAGATCTCATGGTCTAGGAGCGGAGACCGCAAATAGACAAATGGTTAAGGCCGAGCAACATGCCTACAGCCAGAGAAGTGCTGTGGGGAGGGGGCTCCTGGATGAGGAGAGGTCCAGCAGGCTCATGGGAAAGCCCAGGTCAAGGCCACACCCACTCAGAAATAATCACCCAGCGGACATTTGCCTGGCACCTCCCACAGCCCCAGCATTGTGTGGCTATGACAGGGGCCAGGATGTGGCCCAGAAGTCTACATTCTTTCAGCCAACTAAGCTACTTCTAGGTATCCAAGTCTAGTCAGAGCTCAACACTAAAAATGGGAAAGAGCAGGGAGAGCGTCCTAGACAGGGGCCCCTGCGTGACCAGTAAACAGATCAGCTCCAGCCCTCCGACGAAGGATGGAGAAGACAAGATAATAAGATTTTCTTCCCAAAGTTCAGTGCTGTCAGTTTCTGCTGGGCTGGAACAAGGGCAGCTGGTGGCATTTCAGCTCTTCTCCTGGCAGGCATTACAGCAACTCCTAGAAATGCAAAGGCCACATGGAGTCTTCTGAAAACAGTCACTCACAAAGCTCCCAAGTTTCCCTAAACACTCCTCATGTCCCCCAAGCCAGGTCTGCCTGTTGACGAGGGCCTGACCCTCTGAACAGTGGCTGAGGATGGTTCCCTCACCCCCCAGCCCACAGGGCAGAGCTGAGCCCCTGGAGCATCCAGGCAGGGAGACGCCTATCCAGGTGCTTCAGGAAGCATTCTCGGAAGGCTCTGAGTCACTTAAGCTAATCATATGAAGATACTAAGAGAGAAAATGGGGCAAGTATTAAGTCTGGGGAAATTACATTTGTCAGCTTTGCACATACAATTACGCTAACCACATGGTTGGGATAATGCAATCACGGGACTGCAGAGCTCTATTCCCCTCTCTCTCCCCCTCTCTCTCTCTCTGCCTCTCTCTTTCTCTCTCTCTCCTACTCTCTCTCTCTTTTTCTCTTTCTCTCTCTCTCTCTTTCTGTCAGCAATGAACGTTAGACATGAGGATGTGTAAGCAGGCTCTGCCACCCTTTCTGTCTCTAACAGCCCAGGTAAGGTCAGGCAGGACCCCCAGGTCCCAGTGCCCTGCCTCAGTTTCCTTATCCCTCTCCCCTTCTCCTACACCCACATGTGTAAGTAGAGTGCAAGGGAATCAGCTCAGTTTACCTAAGGACCAATCCAAACCTTGGGCCCAAGCCACAGTGTCTGCAACTCAAGGGGCCCTGGCATCAAACCACAGTCTTGCCTCTGAGTTGGTTGGTGACAGCTGGTTTGCTGTTTTCTGAGAACACATCTCTTGCCAAAGAGTGGAGGACAATGAAAAATGCATAGGCTCACGAAAAGAGCACTGGACCAGGAGTCAGAACCCCTGTGCACAGCCCTTGCTGGCCTGCACTAGCAAGCTGTGGTCCTGGGACAGGTCCTTTATATCTTGCATCCCCTGTATGGAGCTCGTGTGAGAGGAGCTAACATGAACACAGGCAAGGATGGAAAAATTGCTATTTTTAAAAGTCAAGGTTTGAAGTAGACAGTCTCCAGGTGCCTCTCCATCCCAGCTTCATGGTCCTAAGTGCTGAAGGGATATGGCATAAGGGAGCCAGAGCTTTATTTGGCCCATCTCTCTAATTAACCCATAGCACAGCTAATGTGCCCAGAAGTAAGGGTGACTGACTGTCCATTTCCACACGCACTCCTATGATTCAAGAACAGATGCCAATTCCATGGGAAAGTTTTATGTGTTTCATATAAATTGATTGGGTCTATTTCAGCTAAATGCATTATCCATTCACCACAGAACAACTATTAGAGTTAATAGAATTTGTAGCTAGAGCCATTATGTTCCAAGCACGCCCTTCTGGGGATGACGGCATTGTTGGGAGGCAGGCTTCGCAGGGCCTGGCCCCCCTCACTCAGAACCTTTCTTCGCACTCACTGGGGGTCTTTGTCTCCATGAAAGCCTTCTGTGCTCAGGCCCTGTAGGCCCAATAGTGAGGACTCACCCAGTTCCTAAATAAATAAATGTATCCTAATCCAGTTCCAAAAAGTCCTGTCATCTTATCACCTGTTGGCATTGCAGACCACCTCATGGCAGGTTGGGGGCAGAGAGGAACCTGGGATCCCATAACTCTTTACTATGTGCCAGTTTTGGAGGCAGGAGTCCCCAAAGGCATTAAGAGACAGGAAACAAGTGAGGATAGGAGAGCCAGGGAGCCCTGCTTACTCCAGTGGTCTCAGATTAGACTCTTATTCATTGTGTCACTAACAGCTTTCCCCAGAAGCCCCCAGGGACAGAATCTGGGACTTTGTGAGCACAGATCGAGCAGGTTGCCTGTCAGGCACCTAGATCAGGCACCAGGGTTTCTCCAAGTATGTCCTCATATCATCTGCTTCTGGTCACCTGGTTAGGGGAGGGGGGACCTGCAAGTGCTACTCATTAAAAATGCAGATTCCTGGGCCCAGCAGACCTGTGGAATCTGAATGTCTGGGAATGAGAGGTCAAACTGCATTTTTAACAAACTCTCAAGGAAAGCCTGATTCAAAACAAAGTTTAGGGACC